TTTTATTGATCATAATTAAAACCCAAAATACAATTGTTACATATGTGAAAAGCAACAAGGAGAGCACATCCAACCCTAACCCAAAACATTATTTTTCCTTACAGTATTCATTTTGACTAGAGACCACTGCAAAATAATTGATTAAAAGTGTGTCCTGCACCTTTAAATGCAGCAGTCAAAATGACTGCTCAAGGCCGTTCTAGTAGCAACGTTAAGTGTCCCTTCTAGTGTGGAAAAGCAATGTGACTGAAGCGCGTCATGACAGCAGTTCCCTGTTTTAGCTAACTCGTTACATAAAAGAGAGCAGAATTTTAAGCGAGCATTGAGAGACGCCATATCAAATGCTTTAAAATGGCACTCGAATGAGTGAATTCCAGAATAAGGGAGCACAGATGAATGTTTTTCATCCTTTACAGGTAGGTTGGTAGTTGAAATGGAGAGCTGGGAAAAAGCAAAAGACGGGAGATTTTGGGTATGATCATACGTATGGAGCATTACAGAATCATCTGGAGCAGTGGCATAATGGAGAGCCTCGAAAGTGATGGAAATAGAGATTTGTTTAGACAAGATAAAATCTCTATGATAAAAACTATCAAGGGTGTGGCTGAGATAGACGGTGCTGCTCAGCAACTTAAGGATGAAAATGAACCAAAAAAGCAGCAGAGTTGATGTTGTTTTTAACAGGGGAGTTGCGCAACTGTCAACAATGCCAGAGACCAGAAGATTTAGAGACTATTTATTAAATTCTGAATAAATGCGTTCTTGCTGTTTTCTAGGAAGTCAGGCAAACAAGAATATAAAAGTACAGCAGGGGTTTGTGCAGAGCTGGGTGCTTCCCAACACAATTTAGCTATAATATTAATCATATCACAGCTTTTGCATTTTATGTTGTGTTTTAGCACAGAACTCATAGAAAAAGCTGCTAAGTGAGTGCTTGATGATAACTTAGTATAAACAGGATGTGTAAGGAGTGATTATCATTAATCAATAAGTTATTGGACTATAAATAGCAGGTCAGGTAATTAAACTATGTCCATACAAGGAGAGAAAATGGAAAAGGGAGGTTGAACAGGCTGAAAAAGACATTGAGAGGAGAAATGACATTGTAGGGGACACTCAAGGCAGAGGAGCTGAAATAACAGGTCATGAAAAGTGAATCATGCGGCTGATAGGTCAGAGGTCAATAAAACAAGGACATTACGCTGCAGCTCAGGAAGCAGCCTACATGTGATGAATACATAAGTCTGTGTTTGTGTTTGTGTAAAAGCGGGCATGTTCAGGTTTGTTCTGCTGGAGAGGAGCAGCTGCGAGGCAGTCAGAGGTCAAAGGTCAAACTCCCCACATCCTCTGGAACAGAAGTGTATCATTTTTCTCTATTTGCCAGCAGACACCAAAGGTTAAAACCCCAATAAAAGACTTAACTCAACAGTAACATGGGTGAAAACTTTACTTAGGTGTGTGACAGTCTTTGTTTAATCTAATGAAAACCCACAGCTGTTATTAATTCATTCAATTAGTAGTCTGAATTATTAAATAGATATTCTTTACTGAAATGTACTTCATGAACAGAAATGCAGCATTTTTTTTATCTTTTTGAAGTGCACCTTATTTTATTTAGGCAATGTAGCGGCATGGCTGTTAAACTCATAGTTAGAATCTGCTAAATAAATTGTTAATAACAACAATTTGCTGCTTTTTCTTCTTTAGACTGGTCTTTTAATTGCTTTGCATTTAGATAAAGGCTGTCCTTTAACAAAGTCACAAACAAATCAGATAAGACTTGCAGGAAGTTAAAGTGTCCCCCAAGGAATCAAACTCTCCATTTCATTTAAGGTCTGTTTTCTGTGACTGCATCCTGTAGCATGTAATGCAACTATTCAACAAGAGCTCAGCTGTGCATGCTGACAATAGCCCCGGAACAGTGTCTGCTGCTGAAGTACCATGACATATGATGGCAAATGCGTTGGCACTGGGATTATCCCTGCAGCAGCCAATCTGCAGCGAGCCAACTTTGCAATTTTCTGAGCACAGCACCTGCTGGATGCTAATCACAAAGAGTTTGTGCCTGCTTTATACATAATTACTGGCTTTGACAAGCAATAGATGTGTTTTGTTGCCTCGCTGTTGTGTTGAAGGGTTTGTTTTGCAGTCATTTAGATTATCATGTCCTACAAGGCCACACTTCTCAAAGTCAAGCAGACCTCTCTGTACTTGGGTGTGTTTGTTGCATGTTTGAATATTTTGAAAATTGCATCAAAAAGCAGAGGGACAGTGTCTAAATCCAGTCATCATTAGGCAAGAGGGGTACCCTGGACAGCTCTCCAGTTCATCACAGGGCCGGATGACCTATTAATAATAATCTGAGAAGATGGCTCTAAGACACAGAATTTTAGCAAAACTAATAAATTTTTTCTGTGCATTTATTACGTTTAAATTTAACATTTTTAGTAAAATACAGCATACATCCAGTATGGGCGGTCAGTAACAGCTGTGTACCCTTTGCGCGAGCCAGGGCTCTGGTTTAATCAGGCTTGCTGGCACAGCTAAAGAGACTGAAGGCATCAGTAATATTATTACAAGCAGCTGTAATTTTCCTGCCAGAGTGGAAGTTGGGCTATTGAGCTAATTTCAGAATACAATTGCTTTTAGATGTCAGGGAAAAAGTTTTAGGACAAAAGTTGACGCAACACAATTACTAAAACAAATGTTGATGTAGCTTCATTTCAGTGTGGTACTTACGGGATTGGATCTATTGTCAGGTGCTTAGTGGAAGTAAAAAAACATGGAACATAAATGTGTGGACGCCCCATTGGGCGCTGGACAGCGTTACAGCATCGCCACCATATTGGGCAGGTTCCCCACTCTCCAAACCCAACTGGAGTCCAAGCAGAATGAGCAAATGCCCGTTTATTTTGCAGCCGGATTGAAACAACCACAGCTCCAACAGGAAGCGCCAGTCCATGAGGTGTCTACATATAAGATGTCTGTGGGTATACATAAGATTAAAGAAGAATTTCCTCTGTCCATCATCCATTAGGAGCTCTCATTCAATCACAGTCGTCTTCTACAAAGTCTTTAGCTTAATCTTTGGGTTTCTGGTTGAATAAAAGCCCTCTCACCAGCATCTTTTATTTACAGTCACCACCCGTCTAGCTCAGTGTCTGTCTGCCAGTCTGGAGAGTTTGTTATGCAACTCTAAGGGCTGCCACTCTGATCACATGTAATCTGTTCTCAGATAATCATTTACTGCTAAATGTAGTAAAACAGTTTATAACATTTAGTTTTATCTGCAAGTTATTTTGAAAGCAAATGGAGGTCCTCGCTTTACCAGATTATGGTAATTCCAGTCATGTATTGATTCACACCGAGGACTAGTGATTTCAGCCACAACACAGGAGTGAGTGGAAACAGAAAATCGAGTTTTATTCAACAGAAACTTCAGTTCTGGACCTCCAGTAGCATCACAGACACAGAAAGACTCAAAGACCCATAATCCAAACTCCAAAATCAGTGTCAGTTCATAAAGAAAGGTCACTCAGATGTTTGCAGATGGACGGATACACATCAGTTGTTCATGGAACTGTTTTAATTATACCATAAATCCTCTAATACAGGCCCGGGCCTGTATTTGACTCAAGCTCCAGGCCTTTATTGGAAGGAGGACCAGAATTAGAGGCAGGCCTCAATTTCTATTTGAGCAAAATTAACTAATGGTTTGCTGGAGTTTTTGACAATTAAAATTGCGCCCACATTTTCAAAGTTAAACACATTTCTTTTAACAACGGTAGTTTCTGCTTCAGCCATCTCCCCCCTCCCCCTGCGCAGCGGCCGCGAACTCACTGATGCGCCTGCAGCCTCTCGGAGTTCCTGCTGCTCTAAACATTAAAATAATTATTTCATTTTCTGTTCCTCACTTCTGATTACCTTCAATGGTGCCTTTTTGTTGCAACCACCAGGTACAAAAACTAACTTGTTTTTATTTGACTATTTTTCTGTCCTGCCTGTTTATTATCTTCCTCCATCTCCTCTCAATCCTAAAGAGAAACTGCTACCTGGGTTCATATTCACCTTATGAGTTACATTTGAACTGCAGTTCTAAAAGATCTACTGACCGCAAAAACAGCGGAGTGCTCGCCGGCCACATCAGTGGTCGGTGCGTCACCGAGGACAAAAAAGGTGATGTGCCCTGATCCACAGCAGCGAAACGCATCAGGCACAAATAAAATAATAAAAGACAGAAAACATAAAAGGAAATGAGCCGACATGAACGATTGCGTGTTAAATTAGTTTTTGAGGTGGCGACACCTGATTTGATGATGTTACTGTGGCCGTGCTCAGGTCGCAGATGTCTGGAGCGCGTCAACAATCAGAGCTTTGCATGTGCAAGCTGGTTAAGGTTAGGATGGGGGTGAGGGGAATATTAAATTGCAAGATTTGGTTAAATGTCCGTTTTACGGCGGGTGTCAGTACCGACGCTCTGGCACAGCGCGTTGCCTCTCGACGCGCAGGAGCTTGTCACCTGCTGACAGCAGGCTGCTGTCTTTTCCGTGGACTGCATCTTGCCGGTCATTATCACGTGACAGCGACTAGACGATGACAGGCATAAAAAGTCACTATAGAGCGGTGAAGTCGACTAGTGACTAGTTCATACAACCCCTCAGTGGCGGCTGGCCAGTAGAGGGCGATAGGGCGCCGCCCTCCCAGTTTTTCCGTGTTTTTAATTTTTATTTTAAAAAATAAATACATAAAATTAACAATAATCACATATTCTAAGTTAATTGTGTGTTTTGTAACAAAAATAAATCATATATATATATATCTATGTTGGTCTCTGTCGGTCTCTGCCGAGCTCTGCCGAGCGGTGGAGGCTGTGTGCTGTTTTTCAATCGCCCAAACAGGACGAGACCAGCGGTCCAATTGCTGACAAGAATATCAAAGGGTAGGAATGGGAATGTATCCAATCAGATTAATGATTGGCTTGGCTAGCTGGATGCAATCACGCTAATGCATTATTTTGCTTTCCGTGTTTGTTATTCAAAACGGCTGGGACAGATAAGGCATGGATGAGTCAGGAGTTACAGACATGAAACATTTTTCTGAGAAGGGGAAGAAACACGAGTCATCCCGGGCACACATGGACAACAACACGGTGAAGCTAGCCATGCTAGGCAGCAGAGCTAACGTTGCCATGCAGGGAACAACAGCAGCTGGGTGCAGAGGTAAGCTGTACATTACATTTCTGTGAACAAGACAATCAGAATCAGAAATCCTTGGTTGTCCCACAAACCGGGACATTTGTTTAATAACATGTTTAATGTGCAATAACTGTAAAAACTAATTTCAACACACATACTTATTATACATATTTAATCACGTAAATGTGTATTTCATGTAAATTTGTACATACATCAATCTGATTCCATTTTACTTGTTACACTTCTGCTGCAGCAAACAAATTTCCCAGCTTTTGGGACAATTAAACATTTCTGATTCTCAATTAGATGTTTTTACCTCAAATGTAAAAACATCTGATTGAGAATCAGAAATGTTTTATTGTCCCAAAAACTGGGAAATATGACATTTGTAAGAGGGTACTGATGACATTATTTCCTATAAAAGTGTTTCCTATGTACTTATCTGTTTTTTATTCATCATATGACAGGTTTTTCACACCATCCTGAGCCATGCAAAATAAGATTCTTGTCACCACACCCATGACCACAGCCGAATCAGAAAGGTGCTTTTCTACTTTAAAGAGGATTAAGACTTTCCTTGAGGAACACCATGACACAGGATGGGCTGAATGCTCTTGCCATGCTCTCCATGGAAAAAACAAGCTTGTCACAAACATTCCTGACTTCAATAAAAAGCTAATCAAGAGCTTTGCCACTCAGAAGGACAGAAGGGCAACATTTCTGTACAAATGAGGTATCACACACACACAAATGCATCCACTTGATCTTTGTATAAAGTTGACCTTGGCACAACACTCCAGAAATATTTAACAGTGTAAATTTCTGGCATTTTGTCTAAGTGGTGTTTACTACCATTACTGTAACAGTGACCTGCTCATAATTTTTTGTGTTCACTCAAATGTTGAAATTAAACAAAATGTTTTTGTTACTTGCCTCTTGCATTGCCTATTTACCATTTATGGTCGTGTTATTTTATGTGCAATTTAATGCAGTATTTTTCAACCATGGTCTGCAAGGCAGCGTGCCAATAGTCAGACACACCTGGATTAATCAGTTTGTCCAATGATGTAAGACAGGAAATAAAAGAGCTGTGCTTAATTCAGGAAATAGTGAAGTTGTGCACAAAGCTCCGAAAGCACAAGTTTGTTTAAAAATAAAAAATAGCACAGCCCCACCAAAAATATTTTTCACCAGCCGCCACTGCAACCCCTGCTTCTGCTCCCCAGAGTGTTCTGCAACATAATCAGCACGTTCTCTTTGAAGTTGATATCAAATTTTCGCCTCCTCTTCATCTCCGGTCTGTCACTGGCAAATCAAAAGTGAGACGGATGACACAACCACCCCCCGTACTTGCTTGTTACCACATTCCACCCGGCCACAATAAAAAAAATGGCCATTATTCACCTCCGCCGACTCCGACACCGGCCAAAATATGATACCCGGCAGTTAATTAAATACAGGCTAATATTAGAGGATTTACGGTATGTATACATGTATGTATGTGTATATATGCACACGTCACCCCTCTGTTCATTGAGCTCCACTGGCTACTGCTAGCTGCACGCATCAAATTCAAATAGCTAACACTAGCATACAAAGTCCGAGATGGTACGGGTCCCATCTACCTGGATCCTCTTGCAAAGGCTTACGTCTCGGCCCGGCCGCTCCGGTCATCACAGGATCGTCGGCTAGCAGTGCCTACACCACGCTCAGGACAATCCAGACTTTTCTCATGCATCGTTCCACAAATGTGGAATGACCTTCCAAGCACTACCAGAACAGGGGCTTCCTTTTCAATTTTCAAGAAACTCCTGAAGACCCTGCTCTTCAGAGAGCATCTTCTTAACTAGCACCCTCCCTGCACCCGTCACCCCTCTCTACTGTCCACTCCTTGTTCCCTACTCTCCATGATTGATGTCAAGTTGTTATTGTTGTTGTTAGCTTCAAGGGCAACATGCCGATTATTACTTGTGAGTCGCTTTGGACAAAAGCGTCTGCTAAATACATAAACATATGTATGTATGTGTATCTATCTATCTATCATCTATCTATCTATCTATCTATCTATCTATCTATCTATCTATCTATCTATCTATCATCTATCTATCATCTATCTATCATCTATCTATCTATCTATCTATCTATCTATCTATCTATCTATCTATCTATCTATCTATCTATCTATCTATCTATCTATCTATCTATCTATCTATCTATCTATCTATCTATCTATCTATCTATCTATCTATCATCTATCTATCATCTATCTATCTATCATCTATCTATCTATCATCTATCTATCTATCATCTATCTATCATCTATCTATCTATCATCTATCTATCTATCATCTATCTACCGAGAGAGAGAGAGAGAGATCACCCTTTTGTGAACCATAACACACATTATTGAACTATCCCGAGTCTCCAGATTTTCATTAGGTCATTTATTTATTTAGAGAAGGTTCATTCTGTCAGTCAAGGAGACCCAATCTGCTACACTAAAACAAATTACAACAGATAAGATGTAGCCTAGAAATCTAGACAAACTGTTGCAGTAGCAAAATGTCTCTGCTGATTGGTCTAGCCGTGCTCCGTTGTAGCCTCAACAGCGACGGTGGCGGCAGCTCAGGAGTAACGGTCATTTGAAATTGCTTTGGTATCAACTTTGGACGATGTAGACCTGGGCTCTGCTTTCAGACATGAGCAGATAATGATACTTCTTCAGGGGTGGACCTTTAAAGCGCCCGAGCGCCAATGGCGCTAAATTTTCTCGTCGGGCGGTAAATACTTGACGACTTACCGCCCGGGTGGCGCCCAAGCTTTATTTGTCATTTACACACCGGCTTTCACCTACATCATGGCCCCGCCCTGTAGGAAGCCGCTGTTTTCGTTTTGCGCGCGTGAACCTGCGCGCCTCTAGCCACGTACTGCACTTGTACGATTCGTGCACGTACTGCACGATTCTAGTTATTGTCACGTGAACTATAAGTTCACTATTAAAGACGAAGTGGAACCACGCTAGAAACACACAAGCACGCAGGAAGATCGCGCCACCACAGGGATGGGATTTCTTGATGAAATCTCCGGCAAAACGCTTTAAAACTGGTGAGGAGAAGCGAGACAGTTCGAAACGGTATGAAGCAGAGAAGCGTGTGCGTAGGTGGAACGATTCTTGGCGGTTTAAAGAAGACGGGAGACGCGGAGAATGGCCGTATTTGAGTTGAGTAGCGGCTCGCCTGGAAAACAGACGAGAGCAGATGGAAGCAGCAGGGGGAGTGGCTGAAAGGGTACACACCGGCCGCGGAAGCGCCCGAAGCGAATCGCTCACGAAGTCCGGCCGCTGCTCGCTGCTCCTCAGTTCAGATCAGACGCGCCCCATTCGAGGCGTGCCTCGGCTCAGCTGTAGTTTTTCTTTTAATTACTTGGTGTCCTCCATTTCCTCAGCTCTTTTCCTCTACGTGTGTGTGTGTGTGTGTGTGTGTGTGTGAGAGAGAGAGAGAGGGGGGAGAGAGAGAGAGAGAGGGGGAGAGAGAGAGAATGGTGTGAACCAGTTGTTTCTGCCAGTTGAATCTCTTGGACTTCCCTACATGTGTAGCTCGGGGGTGACAATGGATGAAGATATCGCGTTAGCATTCACACTTATTCAATTTTCAATTTTAATTCTGGTGCCTGTTAGCAGCTGAAACACATCCTCACATGCTTGTGGATATCATATATTCTATATGAAAACATGACTGTAATAATAAGTAAAGGTTAGCAGCTGTAGCTTCAGTGTGCTCATAGGAAACGTGACAAAAGAACACAAAACACATTTCTCCTTATGGCCTATATTGTTGTTATCATCAACGTAACATGATTTACAGAATACATGTGACCAACTAACATTTCATGTTCTACCACCGGATGTTTGGATCAAAATGTGAACCAATCAGATCTTAGATCAGGTGAGAGCCAGGCGTTTCCCATCATCCTCTAGGTTTTGCAGCCGGTGGAGAGCAACTGCAGCTCCTTGCTCCAAAATCTGCGTCCGCCTTGATCTCATGAGGTTATCGTTGCCTACGTATGCATGACGTCAGAGCCAGTCGGCGTCAATTCGGACACAAGTCTAACCGGCATGCACTGCTCGCCGATCACTGCTGGTCTAATCTGCGCAGAACTGGCTCATCTCGAACACAGCCAATGGCTCGAGTACAGCTAAGCGGAGTTGGTGATGTACTGCGTTGTATGCCGGAAGTATGCGACGACAAAATCGTGTTTTGTTGAGGGAACAAACAAATTCAAACTTGAATACGTTATCATGTTTGTGAATGTGTACAAAATAAAGGTTTATTACATTTAAAACGGTTCAGTTGTTATTTTGACTCGTTTTGGCAGCTGACCAGCGTGGCCGGTAGATTCTTGGCGGGGCCGGTAAATATTCAGAGTTACCGGCCCTGCTGGCCGGTTGGTTTTGAAGTTAATGTCCACCCCTGTTCTTCTACTTCGATGGTGGTCGGCGGGTTGCCTCATTGACTGTTTTCCGTAGCAATGGATCATGTTGTTCATAGCTCTAATTGGTCCTAGTGCTTTCCAATTTCATGCAGACAGTTTGAAAGACAGCCACAATATCACCCTTACAACTGAGCTCTGTTCATGAGTTGTGGCCAGCCTATATTTATGTATGGCAAGCCAAGACTAAGAGTACATTGAGTTAAAAACAAATTTAAACAGTCAAATTTGACCCAGAAACCCACAAAAAACCCCACAGTGGTCCACTTTCATGAAAAGGTTTATAAAGAATAGAAAGACAGACTGGTTCTGCTGTGTTACAGTTGGCTAGGTGGTGTTTAACAAGTACCCAAATATTATGAGGCTTTTCTCCCGGTGTACAATCGCTGGAGAGACTCATCTCCAAGAAGCGGGCTGTCAGAGACATGTATCACTTGCCTATGTTCTGAATAAATTATTTAAAATTGCAATAACTGGAGCATTACATTTTAACAAGTCTACAAGGACCTCTGTTTGTAAAGTAACATGTGTGTGTGTGTGTGTGTGTGTGTGTGTGTGTGTGTGTGTGTGTGTGTTACAGACTAATTAAAGTTAGAAAATAGTCCATGTATGGTGTTTATTCACATGACACAAGCACTCACTGTGACCAGAGAGTTGTTGTCTTGGGGGAAACCGAGCTCACCAACACACTTTTGACTTTTGATACTGAAGTAAACAATATTAGAGGGTTAATTTCTCCCGATAGTCAAACAGTGTTTTCTGTAAGATTGCTTGGATCCATTTGACTTGACTTTATATTGTATTTGTAAATTTACTCAATGAGAATGTGTTTTATCCAGCTACAGTCTACCACCTCCAGTTGCCCCAAAGAAATTGGAATTTTACCCCTTGACAAATCCTAGTCGGTTCAAACCAATGTAGATTTTCATCACGTTCATATATGGCATTCCAATTAGTAACAGGTTATTCCAACCATTTTTTCAACTCCTTTAACGTCTTCAATCTGCTTTTATTATAAAACTTCAATACATAGATTCTTCAAACCAGGACTAGATAATTTCACACTAATAGAGTCCATGAGTGTTTGCTTTTGTCACAAACGTGAGAATGATATCATGTTGAAAGGCACAAAATAGTGAAAACTACCTTGCCTGGCCAGGCAGATCTCTGGGTGCTCAGCCCCCTAAACCTCTGAATTTAGAATCGCCCCTGCCTGAAATCCTCATTTGTGATTGAGATTGTTTTGGTCCATCATACTGTTTGTAACTTAGATTCATTTTCCACTCATTTTTAATCCCACTTTAAAATCCGGGGTGAGTTTTGATTCTATTGACCCATACTTTAGCTTTTTTTCACCCTTGGAAATATTTGTTAATTTTTGTTAGTGCTACAATATTCAGTGCTGAAACAGAGATGGTCATTCATGGTTTTACTTCAACCTGTGTCGATTATTATTATTATTATGACTTTTCTTGGTTTGTTTTCTTCTTGCCTCGGTAAAATCTCTCTGCACCTTCTGCAGCTTCTCCAGCAGGTGCTCCCATGTGACAACTTTGCTGTTCAACACAAGATTCTCTTTTAGGTTTTTGGTCTAGGTTTCTAAACCTCTGCGTGATGATGCTTCTACAAACATGTGTGGTCTAGCTATAATCACCACCAGGACCCAGAGTCCAGCTGTTTGATACCCGTTATCTGTCCTCAGATCTAGGCTCAGACCTTTAGCGTGGCAGGCCCTTTACCGTTGTAGCTTAAAGTTCTGGAGCGCTTTTCCATTTTACCTTTAATATGTGGAGCCAGGTGACTTATTTAGAAAGCTTCCTAGCCAAGCATTTGGTTAGCATTTCAATGACAATGGCACAACGGCAAGAGTGGGTGTCTACTGATCAGATGATGAACAATTTGATCGTAAGAATCAGACGTGCTACAAACCTATTTCTAACTGGTGATAAACATCTTCAAGAAGGAAAAAAAGAGGTTTAGTTGATTGATTAGATTTTTTTGTGTTAATTTTAGCAATGCCGGTGCCAGACCAGCCAGCGGAGCAGGAGAAGGGGGCCATGGTCCCCCCTGTGATGCCAGCTTCCAATGGAGACAGATCTGAGAGCGAGACGACCTCGTCCATCCTCGCCTCCGTCAAAGAACAGGTACCAAAAACCAGTGAGCTATATAAAGTGCCTAATCTGTGTTTAATTTGGAATGGAATGATGCCTTTTTATTTTTCCATTACTGTTTTTGGTTTTTCCTGTTTGCTGTAATCTTTTTTTAAATGTACAATATACCTTACTTAGACACGGTGCTCACCTGCTTCAGTGGCTGTCGGCGTTATCCAGAGAAACAAGCAGTCTACTTAAAAGTCATAAAGGTAGAGAAGAGATTAATTGGTGCCAAGGGAATGTGAGTGCCATTGAAGGAAACGATGGAGATTATGAGACCAGAGCTGTAGTCATCAATCACAGTCATTTAAATCAAGGCAGTTACTTTACGGCGAGTGTTGGAGAAAATCGCTCTGATGCTGCCAAGTCTTTCAGTTGCAGGACATGTAGAAGAGGTGAACAGGAAGATGCAGATAGGCAGATTCTTGACCTCCATAATCAGTGAGGCAGACATGGGAAAGCTCACTCACTGCTGAAGCAGCCGCTGACGTCTCAGCAAAGTCCTGAAAGGGCCGATGTTGTGTGGAGACACGGCTGAGAAGAACAAGCTGTCTTCCCCAGGCTTTTCCCAGAGCTCCTTCTGTGGAAACACGTGCTGAGAAGGGCTTTCTTGACACTTGACTTAACCAGAACCTGAAAACTTTACATCTCCTAAAAGTTCAAAATGGTTCAGTGAGCTGAAAGTGTGATCCCTTTGATCTGTTACCATGAGAGCCAAGTTAAAACTTGACTGCTCTGTGTGGGACTCGAACCGTGCGGCAGGTATAAAGTCAAGAGAAATCAATGGATTGCCAAACTGTTATTGCAGCTAATTAGTTTTCCTAGAGTCTGTGTGGGAAATGTGAACGTTAATGAAACAGCAAAGCCCTCCGATAGTTTATTTAATGCTTTGGTTTCATGTCCAATGACCTTGTGCAATTATACAAATCATTTTTGATTTAACAAAACCAAATCTATTTAATGTTATTCTGGATAAAATAAAACTCATTGTCACATAAATTACATTTTATGATTTGTGTTTAGTCTTAGATTTAATGTGTTGTGCAATGGAAAGTATTTTATTTGAGTTTAGCTCATCAGCAAGTAAAGTACAACATAGATTTATTATTCGGCCCATCTACATTGACCGTACACTTCTCTTTAAGTTATAATCAAAAAATAATTCATTGATTCACCCCGTGAGAGGGGGAAGTGCTCACAGCACTTTTTAGCTTTTCTTTGCAAATTGAATTGATTTCTAGTTTTACTCAGCCAGAAACTCATTCAGTGCTCTCACATTCCTGAATCATCGAAGCACGAATTGTTTATTTATGTAATGGATCAGATTTGAACCTATATCTTCTCCCTCCTGTTGGATGAGCAAACGCATTAACAGTTATCCAGACGGGAGTAAATTACAGACATGGCTGCAGAAATTTAGCCTTTATTAGGTTTTTGATTAGTTTTTGCTGTGAGATTCCTTCCAATAAGGAAAGCTACATCAAAGCTACATTTGCTGCACATCTTGGATAGAAAATGTCCTACTGCGCTCTTTTCCAAAGGTGTGGAACACTCAAAACCAATTTTTATTGATTATTTCTGATTATTATTGGTCACTCTGAGTTTTTCATGCAGGCTGAACATGGACATAGTTTCCTACACATGTCTCCTTCATTAGCTTCTGATAGAAAATAGACAATGAAACTCTAGGATTAGAAAAGTCTTACAGATCTACGTCACACTGTCTTAACATTCATGGACTCATGACACGGAAGGCTGTTGGTGGTTTAAAATCCGAGAATCAGCAGAGAACGTCCCAACTAGTATAAGCTAACTGTTAGCATGAGCAACCCCACCACGCAGCAGAAGCTCCTCCAGACCTGTGTTATTTTTTCAAGTCAGTGGTAGAGTCACGTTGCTGTTACCCAATCCAATGCGAGATGTCCAAATATCAGGAAATAAAGATTCCAGAACTTGCTGTCTGAAGCCCAGTTTTGATGTGGGTTACTGCTGGTTCCTGGAAATGGTGCACTGGCATATTTTTCCCCCTGAGAACAACTTACAGAACATTCATTCCTACTAGAGACCACTGCAAATGTATTGATTAAATGAGTGTTTCACACTTTAAATAATCAAACTTGGCGTAGTTATTCCCAGATCATTAGCTTGCCGATCCCCTAGGGTAATTTCAGATTATATTATTAGATTATTAGAGTCTAGATCAGGCATGTCTAAAGTGTGGCTCAGGGGCCATTTGTGGCTCTCAGAGTGATTTTGTGTGGCCCTCACTTGCTTTAGTTGTGGGATTTTGTCTCTTGCAGATTGTTGATGTAGAGTGACACTTGAAAAAAATGTTTAGATAAAAATTATTTATTTATTCGAGGTCTTTTTTGAGCAGTACAAACATAAAAGATCCCGTTTTTACATTTTTGCTCATTAAAAATTTTAACTTGATTCGTCCTCGTCTTGAAAAGTCTGGACGCCCCTTCTCTAGATTATCATTATCAAAAAACACGTAATAAATAAAATCACTTCCTGACAAATTCAAAGTTGTAAAAGAACAAAGCTAAATATGCTGACATGCTTCACTATATAAAAGGCTTACAGCAGTTTTTAATAAGACTTGAAATAGTTAAGCTGTGCTCCAAATGTACAGTAGTTTTCTCTTGAAAATGCTTTTTTGCACAAAATTTAAATATTTTATGACTTTCATAATCTTTACCTTGATACAAAGAGAAAAGATAAGTAATGATAATAGTATCAGTTTTTATATTTGTATTATTTTGCTAAGAACTTTATGTGTGTGTGTGTGTGTGTGTGTGTGTGTGTGTGTGTGTGTGTGTTAGTTTTATTGATAAATTACTGAGGACACATGCTCTTACTGCCTTACCTGACATTCTTTGTCCAGTTGTGTGTTCCTGATTGTGTGTGTGTGTGTGTGTGTGTGTGTGTGTTCCCTGGATACATGTTGCTCAAGTAACCTGGCAGTCTTGCTCCCGCTGTGGCGCATCATTATGGCTGACACACACTTCAACCCTGTGTTGTCCCTTTGAGGAGTCTACATGTGAGCGGCGAATGGATGACTTTGAATTAATTTAGTATTTACCATCTGGCTTGTGTGTCTCGCTGTGTGTGTGTGTGTGTGTGTATGTGTGTATGTGTGTGTGTGTTGCTGAAGTTAAGGAAAAATCAGAAATGTAACATCTCTGTTGGTAAACTTATTAAATATCTCTTAGCTATGTCTTTGCTACAAAGAAATGATCATTAGCTGCTTGCTCATAATTTTTTTACTTATGATTTATTTAATGTTTAATATTCACACAAAGAGTTTTAACACACAAAAACACGTGCAAAGCTCAAGAGAACGGACCAAAACTGAATGCCAGGGTCTACTGAGCCGACATAACAAATGGATTGTGTCAGAATATTTGACATCTATCCTTGTGGCTGTCTGCTAAGTTGAGCTAACCCAGGCCAATGCCTAGAAGGTGGCATACAGTCAGGTCCATAAATATTGGGACATCGACACAATGCTAACATTTTTGGCTCTATACACCACCACAATGGATATCAAATGAAACAAACAAGATGTGCGTTAACAGCAGACTGTCAGCAGTTTGGAACATTCTCAAAAAGAAGGAACGCACCGGTGAGCTCAGCAACACCAAAATACCCGGAAGACCACGGAAAACAACCGTGGTGGATGACCGAAGAATCATTTCCCTGGTGAAGAAAACACCCTTCACAACAGTTGGCCAGATCAAGAACACTCTCCAGGAGGTAGGTGTATCTGTGTCAAAGTCAACAATCAAGAGAAGACTCCACCAGTGTGAATACAGAGGGTTCACCACAAGATGTAAACCATTGGTGAGCCCCAAAAACAGGAAGGCCAGATTAGAGTTTGCCAAACAGCATCTAAAAAAGCCTTCACAGTTCTGGAACAACATCCTACGGACAGATGAGACCAAGATCCACTTTTACCAGAGTGATGGGAAGAGAAGAGTATGGAGATGGAGAGGAACTGCTCATGATCCTAAGCATACCACCTCATCAGTGAAGCATGGTGCTGGCAGTGTCATGGCGTGGGCATGTATGGCTGCCAGTGGAACTGGTTCTCTTGTATTAATTGATGATGTGACTGCTGACAAAAGCAGCACGATGAATTCTGAAGTGTTTCGGGCAATATTATCTGCTCATATTCAGCCAAATGTCTCAGAAGTCATTGGATGGCGCTTCACAGTGCAGATGGACAATGACCCAAAGCATACTGCAAAAGCAGCCAAAGAGTTTTTGAAGGGAAAGAAGTGGACTGTTTTGTGATGGCCAAGTCAGTCACCTGACCTGGATTCGACTGAGCATGCATTTCACTTGCAGAAGACAAAACTGAAGGGAAAACGCCCCAGGAACAAGCAGGAACTGAAGACTGTTGCACTAGAGGCCTGGCAGAGCATCACCAGGGATGAAACCCAACGTCTGGTGATGTCTATGTGTTCCAGACTTCAGGCTGTAGCTGACTGCAAAGGGTTTGCAACCAAGTATTGAAATGTATAAGTTTGATTTATGGTTCTTATTCTGTCCCATTACTTTTGGTCCCTTAACAAGTGGGAGGCACATATGCAAACTGTTGTAATTCCTACACCGTTCCACCGGATTTGGATGTAAATACCCTCAAATAAAAGCTGACAGTCTGCAGTTAAAGCACATCTTGTTTGTTTCATTTGATATCCATTGTGGTGGTGTATAGAGCCAAAAATGTTAGCATTGTGTCGATGTCCCAATATTTATGGACCTGACTGTATGTGTTCCTGAAATATTAAAATAGTAATAGCTGAATTGCACACCAGTATGTCATGGTCTGCGTCTGCGTCTCCCTCATGTGTCTCCTTGTGTGCTCCATCCCCCCCTAAGAATCCCCTTATGTGTCTCTTTGTGTTCCTCATGTGTCCCCTGGTCTTCAGCCCTCCAGATTATCCCTCCCAGGTCCTGTGTTCCTTTGGTCTCCCCCAGTCACC